CAATGCAGACAGTGAAGGCAGGGTACAAAGCTTGTTTTCTGTGATTGTTCCTCTTGGCTACTACATCACAACTTTATATGGTACCAGAAATCACTTGAAGAAGGTCAAAACCCGGGGTACATGCACCTTAGAGAAAAAGCATCTAAAGGAAAAGGGGGTCGGATAAGGGGTAGGGCAATATGTCACGGGATCAGGTAAGTGACGTCAATGTCAGACATGCATGTGGGATCGGTTCAATTTCAGAGGTCGCACAAGTTTCTTTGGGAAGCAAAGTTGTGGATACCCCATTGACCATTCGTATAGAGATGTCTACATTGATCAGTCAGAGACGTTCTAACCACAATCTCGCTGCAAAAAATTCTCTCCTCCTGCAGCGATTTTTCTCAAACAGCGCTTGACAACATACCGACAGATCACTTGGAATCACAGTGTTTTGATAGCCGGCCAAATAAGAGCAAGGTATACAAATTTTCAAGTTGCCCAATAAATGTACTGTTGAAGCTACCGAAGAGTTGCTGTGCCATGAAAACTTCGTAGAAAGAAACCCAACCATAAAACTTGTTCGGCATGCATAGTCTACCGAATTGGGAGAAATACGAGGATCAGTTAGTTGGATGGAATTCCTACGAATACTTCAGGAAACGTTTGGGTACTATTTCATCAGTTCCCCTGCTGTTGTAAAATGTTACGGGAGTTAAACAAATACACGCTTGTATGTGCTGAGACCACATCTTCTTGGTTGATAGATGAACTAAATCTGGACATTATTCAATAACAGCAAAAAACGTGAATGCTTAGAAGAAAAAAATAGACTTAAACATGCAGTTAGTACATGTCTGAACCGCTGAAACAGCCACGACCAACTATTCCAGTTACCGTATGCTCCTACTCGTGAACGGTTGTTGGCTCGTGCACAACTGATCAACCAGTCTCGAGGGAAAATGATTGATGGGGATTTTTAAAAACTATGGAATGCAATGGAATGGTTGTCACGTTGACCCCGACACACTCACTAAGCCCATAGCTAAAAGCGTGGCTTTGTGGCTCCGAGATGATCGTCACGGCTGTCACGTGAACAATGACAAGACACACAAGAATACCCTCTCATTCGGCTCCGTGTTCAGGGGGAAAATGGACTGATATGGAAACGGTATTATAATTTATACTTTTGATGACTGATACACATTGACTGGAAAGTATACCTGAATGATTACTTACGGAGGTCACGTATTGATAGAACTAAAGCTTTGGGAACCAAGTAAACTCCGACTGCTTCTTGAATGGTACATTGAACTGACAGATAGACGCCGGCTAGTTTTCTTTTTGTCTCTACCTATCACTCTCGTTCGCTTGTTTCCTTTGGCACGTTGATTCTACAGGTGCCGAAACAACGTGCGCCTGCCTCCCACCTATAGATACACAACACCCATACGGCGCAAGCCTGTGTGCGCCTCAAAAGCCGACACCGACATTTTCAGGCCGGCACTAAATCGCATTTCACTTTCCGTCTCCGTTTTCAAGCACAACCTGATGACATTGTTTTTCACCACAAAAGTCCACTTGCTGTTAAACCGGACGTAAATTGCATTGTACCGCCGTCACTGCTGGCGCTGCCGACACCGATCTATGCGCTCCTCCTTTGTTGAAAAAATGTGAAAATTGTTGTAAACCATGTGCGATTGTGCGCCAACGTTCTCGGTGTCAGATAACTCATCGAGTCCAATATTGGCGCTTTCGGTTGTTGTCATAGCACCAGAAACCTCCTTGAGCGGTTTTCCCGTTACACCATCCATTTCATGTGACTAGGTTTTTGATTACTGCTCGCCATTGCTTGTTTTTGCTCGTTTGTTTTGTTGTTCCAAATCCTACGGAGGGATCGGGTTCTTTACGGGTGAGCCAGATTTTCCGAACTGAAACCTTAGATTACATACAGACCTGACAAACAATCCGTGGAAGAACATGGCCTTCAGGTTTTAGCAGTTGGCTAATCAGAAATGAAGAACCTCGTTTACACTGCTTGCACACCATGGTTCCGTGTACGTTGGCGTACTTCAATGACTCCACAAAAATCAATCCCGACAAAAAATTGGAAACCGAAATTCATATGTTTAGTACCAATAATCCACACTTCTGGTACAGTGAGGTTAACACACAGCTGTATATCTGTAAAAGTTGGAACTGCCTTTCTGTTTCGAAGCGCATTGCTTGTGACGCTCCTGTGTACTTCACTGCACACTGCTTACTCCCTTACTATTCATAAATGAATTAGAACTGCTTGTGGTGGTTGAAGGGTTCGCTGAGCCTGACAATTTTTTGCGAACGTTTCATCACTGATCGAAGCGAAGTCATCAAAGTGTTGTCATGAAGCGGAGAGGAGCTGTGCGTCGGTGGGCTTCTTTTTATAACCTGTAACCCACATATCTTTTTCCGATTGTGCAGCCTACATTGATCTACGACCACCGAATGATGTTTAATTATCTAGGTAGATAGATATTTGTGCTCGCACACGGTTGTGCTGCAGATCACAGTCGTCTAATGTCTTCAGTTTTTCGTAGCAGCAGCTTCGTAGCAGCATACCGCCCCTCACTCATCCCGAGAGGTGTCTGAGGGACGTTCAGGGTGACGCGTGCCCAACTCAGTGAAGACCAGCCAAATAATGGCGATGGTTCAACTGGACCGTATCGACCCTCTACGGCATGTTCGTGTCCTGACTTGCTATGGCAATTTTTAACCACTGGTACTTGGGGCATTCGGGAACATTTCTGTTACCGTTCCTCTCCTACTCTAATGTTCGCACGACCTGTGACATAGTTATGAATGCGGTTTGCCAGCCTTTCACCTAAGGAATGCTCATTTCTGTGCACTGTGTTTCTGATCCAGTTTGCACCCTAAAGACTGTCTATCCATGCGGTTTTTCAAACTAATTCACGCACCGTGCTATTGTTGGCGGTGTACATCCGTTTTGCTTTGCCGACCATTTTTTCAGTAGATACAACTATAAGTCAGTGATAAGACCGTCTTGTTGCACATCTGTTTGTAGCGTCATTTGATAGACAGTGTTGAAAGAATATCCTGCAATCCTGGACACGCCCGTTTTTCACACACCCACGCACACACGCATACATACTCACACAAATGGGTAACACAGTTGATATTCACATTCACCGGGAAAGGGGAAGGTGTAAGTACATCATGAGTGAACCTGGGAATTCATGATAGTTATTGTGAGGGCACCCGGTGCTAGCTGGCTTATAGCGACGTCTCCGACCGTGCTGGTACCCTCATACTGACTAGTGGTAGCGCTCCCAAGATCATATCACTCTGGCTTTTCCTGGCGTCACATAAATTACGGCGACGTGGCTTGCCACACGTGTCAGGTTATCTTGCTAAAAATCACTAACTAGGGAATTTCTGACTCCAGTAATAATACGCAGAGTCCAATCTACAGATAACGTATATTTTTAGTCTCTTTTATGGCTTCTTGTGTAGCTGATTTAATCACTTTCAGCCTTCGTAGTCCAGGGACAATTGGGAGGCCGGATAATCAATTATGAAAAAAATTTGCTGCACCTGGTGACAATTGGGGCTCGGTTGGAGTTCATTTGTCCGCTCCGTTTCTGACACGTTACGCTCTACGTGTGTGGCGAAGTTCCCATCATGCCATCAACCACTCAACGCGAAGAGTGGCGACATAGGGGAAGTTTGTGGATAGGCTACCTGAATGACAAGCCCTCCGCCCAGGTGTGGTTTTTAACACCCATCCAACAGGGAACTGTTTTCGGCCTAATACTGACATGCCTCAGACGGCGCCATTCCAATTGTCCTGGGAAAATGGACTTTTTAAGGTTGGCGCCAGGACCATAGCGAAGGGCTCCAATTTCGCGGTACAATATCTAGTGTGTTTCAGTGAGCATGTGGGAAGAACAGTCAGTGGACTGTCCAGTGGTGAGATGGATTTCGCAGTTCAATAGAATGACTTATCACCTGGACAAGAGGTTGTGCATCGTTTGTTTGGCCAAGAACATTCTCTTTGAATCGATTTGAAAACTGGACCATGAAAAGCTTTTCTATTGTCATTGGTCAACGGCTGATGGTCGAAAGGAAATTAGTAGTACCACTTTAGCAATTTCAACGGTGCCAAAGCTGCACTGAATTGAAGTGAATATTCAAGCACAAATAGTTCACATTTCTGATAGATCGAATTGAGCTGTATCATGTGGGTCGCTCTTATCAAAATCCAATCTCTTGCACATCAATTTGGTTTTCATGGGGGACATCTAAATCCCAGCTGAGTGTATTTGGCAAATTATATGAAATTTGGATTCAAGCGTAACATGACGTTGTCAGAAGCTTGGGAACTGCGCCTACCTGATAAGCTCCAAGAAGAGGGAAACCGGTCATGGAGTGCCGAAGATTTTTCCGCAGAGTAGTTTCCTTGAAAGAAGTAGGTCATTCGAGGGATCTCACTAATTTGTGACTTAGCGCATAACTTCAAATGATGACAGTTTATTGTTTTATTTTGATTGACTTGGACGTGTTTCAGTAGTTTCGATTCCCAGTCACCGGTTAAGTAGAAGTATGAAAAATGGAAGTTCAAAAATTACATCGTGGACCGTGGACCAGGTGGAATTGGTCCCGGTATATTTGATGAAAATCTAGTGATTGTACCATTATTTCAATGAACTTCTCTGGAGGCTATTTCCACTGCCCTAATGTGACGACATTGTTCGAAAGGTTGGTGGCCGGTAACCACAGTGCTACGGAAATAGTATTCTACGTTGCTTGTAGCTATTCCGAAATTTAACCAGGTTATTACAGTCAAATCCAACGAACTGGTTTGCTTCAAGCACATATAATAATTTTTTAATGAATTTCGTCCATCATGCCTTTTCAAAGTTTATTCCGAAAATTCATGTGATTTTGCATAATCTCTGGATGAACAGATGCTAGAGACGACGTCCATCCTTAAACTGTTATTCCTTCTCTCAAATTGTGTGCAGACGAATGTTCCCCTCGTTCAAGGTCAAGGTCAGTGGACTGGACGCAAATGCAAAGTATATTATGTTGTTGGAGCTCGTCGCCAGAGATGAACACCGGTACAAATTTCACAACGGCAAGTGGACTGTAGCTGGGAAGGCAGATCCGGAGCCAGTCAGGAAGCACTACATCCATCCAGACAGCCCAGCCACAGGAGAAGATTGGATGCACAAGTCCATTTCGTTTCACAAATTGAAGTTGACCAACAATTCGACTGAACGCCAGCCATTTGTGAGTACAGGTGCCACTTTTGGTACCGCTTTCCTTGCTGCCTTCTACAGCACTTAGACGTTGTTTTTAAGAAGTTATTTCATGCACTGATTAGCAGGTATCCGGAGTGTAAGATTCAAACGTCCAACTAGCCCGTCAGATCGGGTTGGTGCTAAACTCTGCGCCATTTGATAGATGGGCTAAAAGAGGGTACACAGCTATATGATCTCTCTTGGTCACGTTAGCAGTCAAGCTCCTGGTTGGCAGGAAAGTCTTTCTGTAGTCCCAGCAGAAGGAACTCACTTTGAAGACCCTCTTTGCAGACTGGTGTACAATGAGCCGAGTTTGGTGAGTCCCCACAATAGAGACAACCATGAATGGATACTCGAACCGTGGAACATATAGGTGGGCGAACTCAAGCGCAAGATGATATAACAGGAATAATTGAAATTAGTATGAAGCACATCGACCGAGAAAACTGACTCGTGATAGAACTTGTAGAGGAATGCTGCTCAGCAGTATGTTCTGTTTCTAGTGAGGTAGAAATACATGTTGGAACTTTCATGTCGTATAGTCTTTTTGTTTCAGAGGAAGTCACTGCAAAATGATTACCTGGAATTTTGCATTCCAGAGCTGGACCCAATCAGGATACAAATCTTAGATTCCCGGCCATATGCTTGTCACTGTCCTTCGCAGTGTAGAATTTCGCGGATCTGAAAACTCAGTCGATCTTGACGGAAGTGGTCCTTACATTTTATTCTTGTACCTCATAACCGGACAAGAAACCTCCTAGTCATGCACGTTCTGATGCTAATTTCAGTCTACAATTTTCGTTACCTAGAGAAGCTTCAGTAGATGTTACTTCAGAAACACTTGGTCGTTGAGATATGTATTCGAACTGATCGCGGAATGTTTTCGTCTTGGAGCTTAGGAACTCACTACTGCAGGAAGGTGCCTGACGATTAGAATCATAGAGCATTGGGAGCTGTTGCGATAGCACACTTTCAAATCCTACCAATGGCTTTGTGTTTCAAGTTGCATCAGTCTACCTCTTTTCCGTTCTTGAGTGTAATCGATTATCTTCTGAATCGTTGAATTACCCTTCATCTCACCGGCAATAATTTGGTTATTCTTCGTACAAACTAGTCGTACATAGTGATGATTGTTACGGACGAATGTCGATAATACACGGTGGCAGTTCGCTCGTGCGAACTGAATCGTTCAAAACAAACGTGAACCAAAGTGACTGTTGCAAACTCTGTTCAGTTTCATTTCACACATTCCGAGGCGTGAGAAAGTCAAGTGAGCGATAAGTTAACACTAGTCTCGTAGCTTCGCGCGATGTCAACATCACCGTGTCGAGCACCCACTTCCTCTTATTTAACGCTTGTGCAAATGCACATTTGATTCAGTGAACGGATTACTGATGTGTAGGTGTGACACACGAGTGAGGCATCAGGGAACAACAGGACGTCTGTTGAATGATGTAAACAGACATCTGGATAGTTGTGAATCGGTGAGATATTCACGCAATAAAATTATGATCAGTGTCAAATGTCTGTCACCCGAAGTTCAAGATTAGGGGCTGAATTCAGTCCAGTTGTTTCATCAGAGCAGATAGCACCGGAGATCTTAGTGCTAAAATGACAGGGGCTATGCTATATTTTCAATAGCCTAATAGGTCTTCTGTATGGACAAACGTGAACCATTGTTTCATATATAACATAATTCGCCATTGTTTCGCCATGTAAAATCTAGCAAGGGAACATAGAATTTTGTTTTGAAAACTTGAGGTCCTTCAACTTCAGTTTCATGTACAGAGGAATTTAGGTACATTTCAAAACTTATTTTAGTTTAATAAGGCTAGACTTGAAATAAGCTACAACAAAAATGTCGACAAATACACTCACTTGCGAATCAATTTAGTGTTTGCAGAAGATTCAAGTGAATCTTTCGTCTAAGATGTTCTTCAACTGAATGTGTCGAAGAGTTTTCAACAAGTTTGTGTACAAGTAGAACATACGTTTGACGGAAACTTGGGGACTGCGTCTACCTGATGGGTCCCAAGAAGGGCGTAGCTGGTCGTGGGCTGTCGACGAATTTTCAGCAACCTTATGAGCAGTGCATTACAAATATACATGTATCGCAATATCTCGAATATCGATATCGAATATCGTAGTGACTAGAATATCAGGTGGCCTGGTGCAGCACATTCAGTTGCCTGGAAACATCACAAACGAGCGATTCGGCTGGGTTCCAGGTGGTTCTCTCGGAAAAAAACCAAGTTAGTTTGCAAATGAGTGTATTTGGCCGAATTCATGCGATTAGGTTTCAAGTAGAACATAAGGTTGACGGAAACTCGGGGACAGTGCCTATTCGATGAGTCCCAAGAAGGACGAAACCGGTTGTGGGCCGTAAAAAAGTTTCCAGCAACCTTGTGAGTAGTTTTCTCTATTAAATGTGACACGTTAAATTGCGTATTCAATCAGCCGCAAGTCGTGTACATGGGATGAACCTGAATTACTGAGATAAAAGGATATACGGGAGGTGTCTGTTTGAGGATCAGCACTGTACTCGACCAGTGAGCCATAATTTTCACGAGGACAGCTGGTCATGAACCGTATACACATAGCTGCCTGTTGGTGCATGCCACCCACAAGACGGACACAGTTGGTAAGCGTCGATAATCAGTTTACTGTGTACGGTTGGACATCTTTAGAGGAAACTGTTGCTAAATTTGAACATGTAATACATTCAAAATATAAATAAAACCACAAGCTTCATCACAATGAAACAAAAAAATTTAATAAAAATATGAGGCGAATCGATCCAATAGGACGTAATACACGCGTACTAACTGTAAAGGTCGGATAGAAAGCAGTCACTAACCGGGGCTTGGAGTAACGAGGCACGCAAATCTCCTAGAGTTTTAGACATGACTGAAGCAAGTGAGAGTGACCTACTACTGAACATATGTACATACATGTCCTTTGTCATAATGTGCGTACATACTGCCTAATAATATGCAAGGCTTACTCTCAGAAATCAATAAGGCATCACAAGACAAACCTAAGTCTCCCAGAGAACCAAATGCTGTTTTGATCTGTCCCACTCCAAGTCATCTTTTAACTGAATAACCCCTCTATTCTCTTTTCTTTCAAAACAGCAAGCGGTGTTAAATTCTATGCACAAGTACATCCCACGCTTTCACATAGTGCGGGCAAACAACCTGGCCAACATCAACTTCTGTGATTTCACTACCTTTGTTTTTGACGAGACGGAGTTTATCGCAGTGACAGCTTATCAGAATGAGCGGGTAAGTAAGATGCTGGGAACTGTTGGTTTTATGTTTACTCCTCTTTGCCATATAAAAAAGCGCTTTTTTTTAAATTTCTTCCTTTGACAGATAACGCAACTGAAGATCGACAACAACCCATTCGCCAAAGGATTTCGTGATAATGGAACCGGACGTCGTGAGAAAAAGTAGGTTTTAAAATCAGAAAACTCCCTTCTAAAGAAAATGGACAGGAGTGTGTAGGACATTCTGCACATGCTTTCTGAACGACATCTTTGTTAGAACATATTTCTTTACTGAAGTGCTGACTGCTAGGGACAGATAGGACAAGACTCACTGATTGTGTAAACCCAACAGGATAGCTGGGAGAATAAATTATCAGTTGGACTCTCGTGTGCCATTGAGTTCTGGCAGCCATAACTAATGCGATCGAACCCAGCTGACGTCCAAATATGCCCATATTTTAACCGGATGTGTTTATATCATTTCGGAAGAATAAGTCTGAACTTAAGGAATATTGTGGCAAAATGATACCTCTCATTCAGTTTCTATGAGGTATTGCGGTATTTGATGCACCTTGGTGTTAGTTCTTCAACTTAGCCTTCGGTTTCACTTTGCTTAGCATCTCCGTCAATATTCAGCTGCGATAATCGATATTTAATGTAAAGAAAGTGGGGAATTTACCGAGAGAAATTGATATCAACTGATCAAATTGTCTGTTCTCTCACTACCAGTTTCCTCTTAATCAATGAGAACTGCTCTCCTACTGATGTCTTTCAAATAATCGGTTTTCTTCGCCAGCTACTAGTACGGGAAACATTTTAAGTTGCCTCCTAACGTTATCCAAACTGCTATTCTTTTGTACACGTACTCAATTTATCCCAAACTCTGGGTCAACTTTTCATGCAAACTAATATGATAAACTTTTCAAATCAGGATGGCTCGAGTTAAAACCTCTCTGTAGGTCAACTTCACGAAATTCCAAATTAATCGAAGCCATTGCAGCTTGCGATAACTTTGTCAGCCATCCACCGGGATGTGCCCTGAAGCTTTTCACGCCCCCATAGATACCAGGCCAGATCATCCCCTGATCTAAAATGTAAGTCACAGCTTTTCAGAAATACCCAAAAGCTACCCCACTAGCATAGACCTGGGAGTCAACAAGCGCGATTCCTATTCCCTAGCTAGTAGCAGATTAGCTGTCCCGGAATAAGCTTCAACCACTTGATTCAGTCGGTATATCCGGTGGGCTAGGTGAATCAGCCGATTCGATCCGCATTAGCTCTTCAAAGGGCTCTGATGTCTAAGTCCTACCGATTTTTCCTAAGCTAAATAGGTGCTCCTTATATACTTGATCTAGTGCCAAAGTATGTGGGTTGGAACTGCTCCGTTTTCGCTTTCTTACAGGTGTGAGAGCAGCACACATCAGATACAAGTGACTCACAGGCTTATCTTGAATCAGTGAACTGCTGTTCTTGTCCCCCTACTTTCGTGCGTGTACTTCGCTATCGAACTTTTAGCCTGCTGATCCTGCGCTGTCAGTTTAGCGGAACCCCAATAAACACGCCAGCTCATAGTCGTTCAGCCGAATACATGTTGCCTTAGAATGTACCTTGATCGAGGACAAGTTTTAGGGACCTTCTTTGTTTTAACCAAGGCTGTATGCTACTGAATGAAAATCTGTTTTCAACCTGCCACGGCATCATTTCAGAAGAACAAGATAAAGCGCAATCTCGCCTGGAAGATAGCGGGTGGAATTTAAACTCCACAGACAGTGTTCTGACCAGAAAACTCGCTGAACGGAATAGGTGATAATCTGATCGCTAGAGATGATATATTATCGTTCCGTTGAGCAGTAGCCCTTGTGGAGACGGTTGTTAAGTATGACATGAACAAAATTGGCTCGAATACTAGATCTACTTCACTCCTGAGATCATTTCTAACTCTGATTGTGCAGTAACGCGACTTCGCGCCCGGGTTTTCGCGCTGATTTATAAAGTCCGTTATGAGACTAAAAAATTTGCCCGGATATTCAGGGTTCGTTAGCAAGATCCAAAATGCTACTTTTTAGCTAAGAATAAGGCTTCTGTGTGATCCGCAAGCATTCCATACAGCTGTTGCTTGCAGCTTCAGAAATCCTTCTGTGGTCTTTTTGTAGAAAACACCAAGTCACTCGTGTTTCAGCCGCCCTGAATTTCACGTCACTATTCAGTAACGTTTCTTCTATTATGTCGATGACTTGATGACCACTACAGATGGCTTGGCCATTTTTGTAATCTGTCTAGTTTGAGTTTATGGAATACCGTCTTGGTGACCAACATCCAGATTGGCGTTATGAGCTAATCAGGGATGCAAGGAAAATCAATTTGCTATTCACTGGATGCAGTAATCTACGTTAATTTTAATGCCGAATGGACAATTATCCCTATGATGGGAATTTGGGATAACAGGTTCTAAAAAGGTTAGAATTTATGAGCTTCCGTTTAATCCAAAGAGCTCGGCTTTACGGGCCCCAGAAGATAACTTTTGTGGCATCTAACCTAATATGTGCAACTTTATGGTGATTCTGAACCACAGTAGTATTGAGGTATAACTCTAAGGGTCTATATACAAACTTGACGGTATACTGAACTTACATAGTAGATGACAGGTTCACAAACTCAATTTTAGATGTCGGAGAGTTACTTTCAAGAACATCCAATGGAAATGTTACCTAAATTAGACACTTGCATTGTAGGACAGACTGCAGCACTTCTCCAGTGACCTTGGCTGAAGGTCACACGATCGTTGGCTTGGATTACTGCGTAAAACGTCAGAGGGAAGCTGATTCGGGAACTCAAGTCATCCTGATGAGGAATAATTACGCAGGCACTTGTCTACACATTTCTCTACCGCTGGGCATAACATTACATTGGCACTGGCCACACTTTCATTCACTAATTACCTATGCCCGATGAAAATGTCTACATATTTGCCGTATCTTTCGAACCCAGAAATACTATTTTATATCAAGCTTGATGCAGATGGTTGCGTACACTTTGGAAACTGTCAGAAATTACTCGCCCTTCGAAGGGCTGGTGTGCAGCAAATTCGACGTATTTACGATTGCTTACCGAAAATTTGGTTAACCCCAACGGATCTCAAAAGCTTTCACCACTCTGCTAAGACCTTTCTCATCCATTATGGTGAATGATCCACTCAGTCATAGACATCAATATATTCATCCTGCCCCCACTGCGGTAGTTGCTTCCCGTAATCTGGGTCATAATCAGTGAGTGGTGTAGATGTTTCTAGTCATATTAGAATGACAAAATAACATCCACGCGCATATAATATATAATTTACTAATACAAGAAGGTTATCTGAATCTCAGGGGATTTGGCGTTTTACAAGTTCTGTTATCAGCAGCTTCGCTGAGCACTGTAGCTGGGACACGTGTCGAACAGCCATTACCCTAAAGCCTTGATTAGGATTAGGTGTAGGTAAGAACTTGGTGTCATCGCCGGATATCAGAGTGTCAGCACCTCTAGCCTCATCCGCTTTTACCTAGCTCTTAGCTGGCACACCTGGACCTATGATGAAATTTATTGCCATCGTGGGGGGATAAATAAGCCGCTTTGGGAATCATAAAATATGCCGTTCAAGTAGATCATAACGTTGACGGGAACTCGGGGATTGGTTTTCCCTCATGAGTTTCAAGAAGGGCGAAACCGGTCGTTGGCTGTCGAAGAGTTTTCAGCAACCTTTCCTTTATGAAAATATGTCGTGTCATGTTTGGATGCCTTTTTCGCGATGAAGGATTCTGAGTCACATAAAAGACTCTTTAAGGAAGACTTTCATCGGTGTATCAGGGTATTGGCATTCAGACGAACCTATTGCAATAGTGTAAATAAAGACATCAAAGTGTGCGACAAGCTAGTAGCTTGCCGAGTATGTAGGTTTGCGAGAGATTTCGACGCACCTTACTGGAGGTTATCACATTCGGTTACATCATCCGGCTCTCCCTGACAAGGATCGATCTCAGAGACACACGCCCCACGAAGGTACGGCCATATCAACCGTTGTTTGAATGGAAACACTGTGTAAATTCCATCACTGTCAATAGCATTGCGAACCCAACTACTCAGCAAAAACAATAGCCCTGTTCACCAGAATTGTCACCTATGGGCCAAGTGTGAGAACCAACTTTTTTTATGTGAACGCCACACCCGACTGTTACCAGCATGGGGAATGCCGTCATCGGTCCATGAAGACATTTTTCATTTCGGACATTCGAGCCTGATAAGTTTTATGTCCTTACAAACTTCGTGTGACCGGAGAGCGCAAATATTATTGCCACAGTCTAAGTCACTTGCTAATGACCACGTTGCTGTGATACGAAAATCTTCGCCTATGAATCCGGATTGACTACTATCAGGGGTGAATACAGAAGGATATGTAGGCCAGCTTTTACTGTAGTAGCTTCTCTCTTTCTCCAAAAAACGCAGTGAAATAACCTCATTCAAATATTATCCGAAAAGTCTGCAGTTTCTTTTTGCCAAGTGACAACCTTCATTTTACTACCACTGAACAATATGACCAAGAAAGCGTGACACTTTAAAATGAGCATCTCCCGATAAAAAGTCATCATGACAGTTTTGGTGAAGCGAGCTTAATCGTCAGGTGGCTGCTTACATGCAATGCATCCTCTGTCCGGTCCTATCTGTAAATTTTTTCTGGCCCTCTCAAGCATTTAATTGCCATATTTCGATGATGTTATTTGTCAACGCGTTTCCTGAAGTCATACGCTAGTTTCTGAACAGCATTTACGTTGGGAAAACAACAATCCTGAAACTTAGCTGATTTCACCTTATCACGCACCTAACCGTAGGATTTTTGTCTGGTTACTTGAGCACCGAGGGGTTAGAAGACAGCTATTCGGTTGCATCCATTGCGCTTCTCTCCGCAACAAGTTCTGGGTTTTCGAGAACTCCGTGCATCTTATTTGAGATACGCTGAACTAAAAGGCATGTATTCTGCATTTCACGCAGCTGATAAAAGTATCTACTAAGCATTCCTTTCAGACAGCCGAATGATGAGAGCACACGGCTGAATAGCACAAGACATGGAGATGAATCATCGTACACTATCAGCTGTAGCCCTGAATATTCCTGTTGTTCATGTTTCGGCTGGGCTCAGAACGTGAGCCGAAGAGTTACTGTAGATTCATGTTGGAACAAATTCAGGATTAATGTCCAGATTTAATATGCTTTTGCATTTGAACCAGAGTGATAATACACTGCGTTCCATTGAGCGGGAACATAGGGATTTGAGCCATACAGCCTGTAGATATTGGAAGTTGTGTGAAACCCTATCATCTGACAGTGGGCGACAGGATCGCCCGTTGATCCACCACTCCATTCGCATTATTGCTCTATCAATTGACAATATATACTACTCACTAGGAAACTCTTTGGCAGCACGTTTTATTGTTCTTAATGCACAGACTTGATAGGTGAAGGTAGCTAGTAGTTTGCAAGTGAGTGTTTTTGTCTGTTGCACAAGCCGAACATCATTTCGGGTATTCCTGGATTGCCGCCAGCTGACGAGCTTCAAGAACAATGAAACAAGAAACGAGCTGCCGAAAATTTTGCAGAAACCCATGAGCCGTATGTCTTGTAAGGATAACTAACTGCGATTTCTCGAATGTCATGCCAATTGAAACATGAGGCGGCTTTTGCTTACCACTTTCAGTTGAAGTGTACCGCATATGCGAGCTTCAACTAAATCTTTTGATAGCACCGAAGCGCTCCGTAGGTGTGAGTATTTCGTCACTTTTGTAACTCCGACTTATGCTTCTTGGAATTCATTCGGTTACGCTTATACCGTTGGAATAAGGTTGCAGAAGGACGCGTTTTAAATATAAGGGTCTACAACAGGGTGCTTTCTGATTGAGAAGTATGCGGAAAACATACTGTCGCTTAGATAGGTTGTGTGAAAGATCATCGGGGTAAGCAAAAGTCACACAAAAGTCATACTATCCACTGCAGAGGCCCAAGTAAAAAGAGAAGACAAATCTTGCACATATTGACGAACTACTCCGATTTTCTTATCGACAGGTTGCAACAGCTACGAATATAGATGGGAAAATTCCCAGAAGTGCGTACTTTGATCAACAGATGAAAATCTTTCGTCAGGGAAGAAGATTTCCCCTCTCCAAAGACCTCTTTTTAGTTGTGTTTTTAAAGTCTAACTGATGACTAAGAATGCTCACGTATTATGCGTGTCAAAATGACACCATCTCCTAAAAAGATTATTATGATGTGTTTTGAAGAGAAAATTCGCTCGACGGTGGGGAAACTGTCCTGCTCTATGGTGGCCTTGGTGCGAGCAACAAGCAGTATCCACCAAGCATCCTTGGCTACTGTATAGCTAGCTGCCTAAACCCGGGTATATATATGAGTATATAAAAACTCAAGGTATTATTTTATTTTCTTTCCTCGAAAATAGGAGTTGAAATGCTTGTTTGAAATCCCAGGGTTCATGGTCACACAGATAACACTAGCAGTCTGATGAAATGTCGAATAGAGACCAAATCAAGGAGCATATACACTAGGACTAACTAACTAGATATTGCATGTTTGCCTGCGCTTCCTTATCGTAAGCCTGGACCAAGATATATAGATTTTGTTGAATGTCACATATGAAACGCTATTTTCAAGATGCCTAATGCGAAACGCAGCTACAAACAGGAAACAGCAACTCAGTCCATAATGGGATTGAAAATGGCCATCAATTGAGTTTTCTCCCGAAGCACATCGCACTCTTTTAGCCGATTCAACAAAAGGAACAACTCAGTCTTCTAAAGCTTTCGATATTTGGTCTGTAATACCAATTCGGATGAAAATATTTAACACTTCTAAACATGTACATGATGACTCACAGTAACTCAGACACTTAACTGCGGCGACAGTGTTTTGTCAGTCTTCTGTCTTAGCTTTTACAAGCAACTGTTCTCACAGTTTTTTCTGAGTAAACGCATATCAACATTAAGGGTTCGTAAGAGTTATGTAATGATCTCAGGCGGAACCATTCAGTAGATTGTATGATCGATGAGCTGAAAATCGGTGTCAGGCTGAAAACTTACATTCACTTACCCTGATTCTTGATAGCGTTATTGATTCTCGGATAAAAAATCTTACAACTGGGCATTGTCCTGTCATTTCGACTAGGGAGTGATCAAAAATGTGAACTGAGTCAGACACATGGTTACGACCAAAATACACACCGGTAACTTCATAAATTTTGATTCCTTCATCATAAATTTCCGGCCACCCAAATATATACCAACCACCCGCCACAAAGTATTGTCCATTAACTTGTGCTGTTCTTCATCATAAGCCTCTAGAAACTGGCGGCCTAAGGAATAAAAAGAATTCTTGCACTCTGAGCTCAATTCAGCTGTTGTTTGGTCCACTGATATTACTGCTCATCGGCTGCTGAAACTTCGATAATTTGGGCAAAAATAAACTTCACATTTCGCCACCATTTTGGACGGATAGTGTACCTAAATCAGTGGAGACTGTAGGACACTGTAGGACACTGTAGGTTTCCAATTCCAGCAGAACCCTGTCTTCAAAAGGAATACCTACAAGTAATTTTACATTAAGGCGTTTGAAGGGCTGTATTTCCCTTAAAATTGAAAAAAACTTAACTCCGAGATTTTAATGGGTCTTCATTTTGACGCACAATCGCTTTCGTTCTAGAGGCAAAGTGCACTTATATTTCACAATAAAACACCGCTTGTTTCCAAATGCTATCTCATTTTAGACGTCCTCGCACCCAATATAATTCGAGCACCCACTCAACTGACTCCCCGGAAGAGGCCGAGTCACCAAATGGTGTATATTTACAGACCAATGGAAGTTCAGATGATGTCTGTCTGCTATCAAGACAGCAACGGACACGATTTCAAAGCACCATCTTGACAGGAAGCTGTCCGTCGTCACAGAACACACCGTTCACTATCCTCAGTGAGACAGGTGATACAGTAAGAACCCACGGACTTCGTGTACCTCCGATCTCTCCTCATACGGACTTACAGGGAGATTTGGGCGCTTTGAAATCACCCTTATGCAGTTCGTCCTGGATACGAAAAAACTGGCAGGGTATGTTCATTTCTCGACTGAATTTAGATGTCGAATCAACTAACATAATTACAGTATAAGGTAATTGCCAAAACACTAGGAAAGAAATCGGTGGGTAAATTTTGTCCAATTTTTCTATAGATACTTTTTGTTCCGCAGTGCTCCCGTTCTGGCCGACTCTGTATGTGTTTACTGTTGCTGGTGTTCACTCGAATGTGCTGGGTGAGGAAATGGGGCTAGAAGACATTCATATCATCATAAAGGAAACTACTCACAAGGTCGCTGAAAGCTCTTCGACAGCCCACCACCGGTTTAGCCCTTCTTGGGGGTCATCAAGTAGGCGCAGTCTCCGAGTTTCCGTCAACCTTATGACATCATAAACGAGTGATTCGACTGAGTCTCCCGTGAAAACCAAATTCATTTGCAAATGAGTGTATTTCTCGAAGACATTCATATCGTCTTTGTACCGCACCCATGGCCAAGCCGATTCGTATGATTGTAAACAGCCCTTCAAACACCTGATCTGGACCTGAGGTGCATATCGTGACCACAGATTGTCTGATATTTCTGTTGGTTCTCGGGTCCGTTCCTCTTTCACACCTTTCTTCAGACTTTTTAGATTCATGTAGCAATAAGTACTTCATTCTTATTCGCTTAGATATTCACAGTTGCATCACAGAACTCATAAAATGAAATGGGTTTACGACCGACAAACTGATTGCTTCCAACGACTCAAAGCAACCTTCCTATACCACAGGGAGATATGACACAAGTGCTTGAAAGACCAAAAAGCAAAGCCAGTGCCAATCACCGTCGTCGTCATCCAGTTGTCAGGACAAGAGAGTTGTGATCACTATAACACATGTGTAGACAGCAGTGTGGTCTGCCTTCCCATAAGCCAAGAGCAATAGTAGTAAACAAACAAGGACTTCCATTCCTTCACAGGGTTTGTCCCTGAGCGCAAGTAAACTTGAAATAAGGAAACTATCACTACCATAAAATAAACTGGTAAATTTGGGTAAACCCAATAGAACCTACAGGTGGTGGACTGAAAGTTACTAGAGGATTCATTGTCGCGTTGCAGTGTTCACAAGGCACCACAGTTTTCAAATACAGTAGTAATAGTTCAGCTGTCGCACCCTTTCAGTGCCTGACTGCCATACCACTAGAAGGAAGCGCGAGGACTGGGATATTGCCCGGTTACCCAAGCCTAGACACGTGAGGCCGAGAGGCAGAGGTCGAGTTCGAACCAATAAATTCTAACCTGTAACCACTCAGCCACGCTGAAGGTGTATTGGACAGCTGAATTGCAGTATGATGCTTTTCGCTTAACAGCTCGGTAGAAGTATCAACTTTTAATAGATTTCCTGCTTTGTGTCATCCCAGCGCTTGCGAATTCAAAGGATCAGCTCCTATCAGGTTCCAAATCACAACATACTGTACACCACTGCCCGGTATCAGTCAATCCCGATCTACAGTTGCATAACTGGAGAGCAACAAACGCCAAGCATAAATCGGTGGATGTGATGTCCCCACCTAACAGTCTGCATGGATTCGGTGGCCCTCATTTTCCAAACAGACCGGCTGCTGACCAAATGGGGAGTCCCCCTTTCAACCTTTTGCCTAGTCCTGCCTTATGGAACACAATTCACAACTCACTTGGACCCGAAACAATATCTGCCTTGGCTACACTTTCTACCGTCCTTGGAAGTGCTCATAGCTATTTGGGTCACGCAACGCAGATGGACAAAACAGCTCAAGATGAGTATCCGTTAACAGAGAGACGTGTACAAATTGGAGGAACGCTTCCACTGAAACCCAAAGTAAGAGGAATATTAACGTGGCATATCGTCGACGGGATCCGTAAGGAAAGGCAAAATGAGAAGACTTTTCACAAGACATTAGAATTTCATAAATTCACAATAAGTTTATTTTGAAGGAAAATACTACTTATGAGGCTGCTGAAAAGTTTTCAGTAGACTACTGCCGGATTCGCCCTCCTTCGGACTCATCAGGTGGAGGGTGTTCGCAGGTGTCCGTTAACCTCACGACTCTAGGGCTTCTTGACGAGTCAAGGATATTACCAAGTGTAACTTAGAAAATTGAGGTAACAGGTAGTCTTTCAATAAAGGGAGGAAATCCTAGCAAGCACTGCTACACTAACTGGTGGTTGACGTTACTGCAGTGATCAGGAATGGGTGCAGTGTCAGAATCTCCCCCATCAAAGCTTATACATTACAGGAAATCCTAAACCGTTCAGCTAGGCAGGAAATTGGGATCATGTGCTGTAATTTTTGACAGTCAGTAGTGGGATAAAATCAAACCTACCTCCACGACAGCAGTAAGGTGATTGCTCCATACTTGTGGAACCGATGATGCCACTGTTCCACAAGTTGGACTGAAGGCCAGAAGGATAACCAAACGGTTTATCATACTCTTTGAAGGACCGACTTGAAAGGTAAAAGATACTGAAGTTTTGTCGGGCAACTGATATTGCTCTTGGGCATTCCTCACTCACTACATCAACGACATGTTTTTTGATGCGGGCTTTTCATTGTCAGTGTACCCGACGCCTTGTCATCCCGTCGATCGTATACATGGCTATACTAATGTTAAGGGTAAAAAACTTCATACATTCCTCCTGCATCCCATGAAAACTTGTTGATTAGTTTGTTTGCATAAAATAAGTAACAACGCACTAAAGTGGAGAGGTATAACAGCATGTAAGATGAACACTTTAAATAGTTCGACATTTTAGTTTGGTGGCTTACAGTAACATCCTTGCATGATATCCAGTGAAAATCAGTCATATGGTAGGTAATGAGTAGCTTTAACAATTCTGTTTTGGTGAAATGTCAATAATCTGCGTTCTACCGAATGAGGACTGGTCAATAACTTGATGGAATCTAATTATTTTGGACGCAATTCATCATATTATCCATCTGGCGGCCAAGAAGGCAAATATGTAGCAGCCCAGACCGAGCGAAATTACACCGGTTTCTGAATATGGATTCAGCATCACCAGCCCCCGTCAACCTTTGGTTTGAAGGAGTAATGCCAGATGTGTGATCACGTGCATGTTGAAATGGACTTTATTTTTCCTGGGAGCCTGTCTTTTAGGTCTTGTATGATCCTATTCAGCAAAGCAGGACTATCGCCATCACAGATCACTATGTCGACTTTAAATTGCTCTGTCCAGAACAAAGTGTCAATAAAAAATCTTCAAAAGTGTTGTCTCGATACACTGATGAATCTTCTTCTGGAGAGTGGTTTATCTTGCTAGTGGTTATTGGTTTATATCCGTTTATGACATCGCTTTTGCCCATTCTCCACACTGCTCGGATAGCTCCCAATTCAATTACATAATCCCAATTTTTAACCTTGACTGTGGAGGGTTGCTTCGGTTACACGGAGAAAACACAGAAATTATTCGGAATCTTGCTCGCTTCGTTGACGAAAATGAAAAGTAAAACGCGGATGGTCAGACGAAGCTCTGGCTTGGTCATTTCGAATTTAAATAAACAGCTGAATCGCAGCGAACGGGTTGTTACATACTGTTTAACTTCGATCAACAATTCAAGCCATTTGGTCCACAGATGGATTGCGCGCGAAAAATGCTACTTGAAAAGTCACGGGATTGTCTGTCATACCAAACTTCACAAATGGCTTCTTCTGATCCTCGTCAAACGATTACGGATTTATTTTTCCTCTATAATTTGAGCAAACCACTAAAGGGTAAAACCTTGAGTAAGACACCATAGTTCACCGCTGGTTGTACTTGTATCAGTACAAACAGAGCTGGGTGCTTCGGCATTCGAAGGGTAAAAGTAGTGTATGTTGTTCCTGTTTCACTGTCATTAAGTTTGCGTTTGTTACACTTTGCAGAAAATTTGCATGCAGTTAACTACTCTCGTCTTTTCCTAATTACCCTCCCACAGAATAGCCCAGACGTGCAGCCCTCCGAGTTATGTTCATTTAAAACTGCGCGCGGTACTGATGAAAACGATTCAATGGGTAAAGCACGACCAGATGAACCAAGTCTTAAACGTCCAGTCATGTTGGATGCAAAAACCACAAGGACTTCAGCAAAGAAAAGCTTCAACATAAGTTGTTTGTTAGATCCAGATGAACCGAGACACCCTGACGAATGGCAGTGAGGTACTAAACCCGGTTCACCGAAACTAGCATCTCTTCAGAAGGACACATTGACTGGATAACCGTGTCTGTTAAACTTACTGTCCGACTAAAACGCACTGTGGATTACCATCCAATTTCGGAGGAGTTTCCGATCTTCACAATCAACCTACGAAAATGCTGCATGCTTCGATAAACTGAACAAGGCAAACGCTGTACCTGATCCTAGAAACTATTCTGCGAGCTTGTCATTCATTTTTTATCAAACTGGTCATGCTCTTTTGAGCGCGAGAGGAAACAAAAGGCCCACAACTAGCCAGTCCTCCATCTTTAAAGTGCTTTCTCATGTACTTTACAGTCTAGCCCACATGTGATCTATTGCGAACAGGACACAGAAAATGGCCTTTCATGTATGCAAAAACGCTTTCCATTGAAAAGAGAATTTCACTATGACTCTTTTCCAAGTACATTTTCACTTTTTTTTGCTTCAACCGCGAACAGCTGTCAATAGCGCGTCACGTATGTTTCCACACATTGTAAAAAGAAGTGTACAAAACTAAGATAAATCAGATGCACCGGTAGAAGATAAAACCTTGCCTTTATACTTTGGACAAGGGAGACTCTGAAGGGTCATTTTTCCCGGAGGGATGACCAACCGAAATTATTCTTATTATACATATTTCTTCAAAGTGCAGAAGCGCTCAGTTCAACGGCAGCTGCATCATGTACGTGATTCCTCACAACCAACTGCATGTAACTGCTCATCTTCCTGACAAAAGAATCAACACAATAACAAATAATCAATGGCTTACCTTGAAGGGATACAACTCCGCAAGTAGACTCCAATTTCGTATCCACCTTATTTAAGCACAGAATATTCACGCGGTACCTCAACTCCACCTAGACTGAAGGCAGACCAAAGCAATCTTGTGCTCAGTAAAAATCACCAGCGTCAGCTGTGTAACGAATCTTGAGAAAGATTCGAAGCCATGATCCTTTCGACAGTAGTTTAGCAACAGTTTAGCTACAGAAAGATCGTGTGGACCATCCAAACTTGAAGAAGGAAAAGCATGTCAGCCTGTCTTTTAAACAGCACTTTTACTGAGAATCCCGACTTCCTGAGAAAGCGTGCATATGCGGCCAAACATGCACAGCTACCGTCGTCGCTTGATTTATCCCCGACAGTGAAGATACTTGGATCTACCAGGCCAAATTTAAACCGAACTATATGGAAGTTTTAGCGGTGGACGTATAAACTTCATAAGTTGTCTGTTCAATTTTCCTCCCGTTGCTAGAAAAGTGAGTACATTGCGAAACTCGCTTTGACTACTTTCGGCAGTGTGGGCATTGTACAGTGTCAGCCAAAACAGCAAACTAAAAGCTTAGTTTACTAAAATAATAAATATACTTTTAACAAAAAATATATAAAAAATCACGGAATGGGAATTCGGGGTCTCCGAACGAGAAAGTGGGGTACCGTCATATATCGAAAACAGTTTTTAATTAGTCGTTAGGGATGTGTGCTAGTCACAACTTCACTTTCCATTCTCATTGTGAAAACTTTCTGACTTAGCTAGTCCCCCGCTCACTCAAATTAGTGCTTTCAAACATTGAGTTCAGCAGCATTGGACATTGTCTAAACTATAGATGACGTGGTAGCACAGCGATAAGATGCATTCGGAGCCTGTTGTTCACGGGATCCCTCGGTAATGGTTGAGATAAGGGCTACTTGCGACGAAAATCTTAGTCCGTCACCTTTTCTCATTTGCGCGGAGGAAATTTGGCAACCCTACACCTTATTTCTGCTGAATTCATAGCTCACAAATGGCTGCTCTTCCATATCGTGCCATCAATAATCTCTATCAGATACGGAGCAGTAGATCTATTTGAAAATTTCCGCGACCTTTCTTGCTAAGCTCCACGGGCATTTCCCTATGATGTTGTACCAAATTTTTTTGGCGCGCCTGTAAGTTGTGGGCTGCACAAGGAAGTCTGCATCAGAGAGAAATGAATAACAATCCCAGCGTGACACCTCCTCTGCAACGACGAAGGCCGACATCTCGGCCTACCAACAGACGTAGGAGACGGTATGAACCAGAGAGCTAAGTGGCCGATTGAACTCTGCCGTTTGTGTTTCGCATATCGGATGGTTTGAATACGACAGCGATCAGCTAGCGACTGCATAAAAGATGTGAATATTTGGGAATACTAGTCCTTCACGTGACATTCATGTGGTTAGATAAATGCTGACGGGAAACTTTAGCTACCCGATCGGTTGTATGCATACTATTTAATCACAAAACGTAAGAAATCGATACACCCTTGAATACCTTTAAACTAGACCAACTTTTTCTCCCGTTTTAAAGGACTTTCAATGAGAACAATAGAAACGAGATCATTTGAAAGCGTTCGGGCATCTCACAAAGCTGGAAAACCATAAAATCCATGCCATATGTAGACAACGAGCATTTCTGTTCATCTTTTTGAAGAAACGTTCCTTGTATACTGCTTTCGCATCAAATTACTAGAACTTAGCCAACACTTAAGCTCTTTCTGATTGAAACAAACGTAGACTAGGTTGGGAGCATCCATGCGTCTTCATATTTCTAGCTGTCACTGACAGTTATTATGACATGAATCGGGAGCATATCCCATTTGCACTGTATTCTTCGTCGACTAAGGATTTTTCCCCGAAACAAGAATCGTCCGTAAGCCAGAAACCAACCCCTTTCGTTTCACATTGGATTACACCTCTAGTGAGCATTTTGGACAATGGTTGATGCAATCTATTGAAAGAACCCGCTACTCAAAAGGTAGCTCAACCGTGACAACCCACCACCGATTTCGTCCTTCTAAAGTCTGATCGGTTAGGCTTAGTACCGACGAGTTTCCATCAGTCCTATGCTGTACCTGAATACCAAACTAAAAAATACACTTACCTGTCATTATATCTGTCTCATTTTGTTGGCGGTACTCTGGCCACGAAAACTGAAGGGCGTCTTCGTCAAATTGATTGATTATTCCAGAAATTATTAGTCATCTGTTTTCACGGTGAACATTGCGTTGTTTTCTGACATTTTCAGAACTCAGTTTATAAACACCCTGCATAGTTTAGGAGACAATGCGGTGCTTCCGACGCCACTTATGATGTTTGGATCCACTACCAGACTTCGGTACGTGGAACAAAAGTGTGAAATCTTTAAGCAAGATTCAACTTGATTAGAATTGCATTGACCACATCATTACGTATATCAAACGCTTCAGCAACAGCGCGGTCATCCAAAAACAAGGGATTTCCGAATTCAAAGGATCCTTTGACTCTGTTGATGAATAAGCTCTTCCAAATTTGCTTGGCCAAATGGTGATGCACTAGAACTGTAACGTTTTTCGTGACGTTTTTATTTCAAAACTGGGCGGTTTGAGAAGTAAAAAGAAGTATGATCAGAACTTGATAAGTTATTCAGGGTTCTCCTCTTCCTTTTTCAATTCGTTCATCCAATTTAATTTGGGGTGCACACTCTTAGGGACTATGAAGCTAGGTATTGAAATCACGTTTGGAGGGAGATGTTATACGATTTGGACTATCAGATAACATCGTATTGCTTGACAAACATTTTCTCGCAAAAATCTCAAAATAGGTTGTCGGAGCTCGCCGTGTGTTTGGGTACGTAGTATGCACCTTCACAGTTCAGTTTCACTTCAGGATATCCCATTTCCTTGTACCGCGCGGAAATTCTTGACTTTGAGTTTGCTGGTCGGTTCACGTACCTTGACAGCTGCACGAAAACTGCCTGCATCACAACAAATGAGGTTGAGGTGCAGATACTCAAGATGCATGCATAGTCCACCACCTTGTGTCATTAACGCAGTCAGATAGGTAGTTCGCTGAAGCCAAGGGCTGTGTATATAAGTCCGCTGTGAGGGTGGTCTTCCCTATGGTTACAAGGCTTGACCCTCCCATTCAAGGACCTGAATTTTCTGCAAGCATTTGATATCCGGTGTCTTCGGTGCAGCGTGTGCCCTACAAAAAGTTTTGTAGGCTGGTACTTGGTAAGGAATTAGGATCTTCAAATAAGAAAATGGACATATCAGGTTTGGAAGGATGAAGCGGGACATGGCGTGCTACAGTCAATCCAAGAAAAAGTTGTATCCTCCTTCCGGAGGATAGGCAATGACACGACTGCGTGAAATGAAAGCTGTTTTGAGTTTTATGCCCTACTCTGAATGTGACCCAAGTGACTCTCCATGTGTGTGGCTGCGTGACGCGGTAGGCAACCGATACCAGCGGTGAGCACGACGCTACTTCCTAACCGATGCCATTTCTAACTGCTCAGCTAAAACTCATCGGTCTTTGCTCGCCGGGCTTTTGTCGCAGGGGGTTGGCCGAGGACCTTAGATCAGTTCCATCGTAGTCACTATACTTCAACACAATACTGACGTGTTTTGATTTCAGTGTTCTTCCCTATGAACTTCTTTGCACCAAGTACCTACCCTTCCCCTTTCCCACTCTTTTCTAGGGCATTCTAACCTATAGTTTTTTTGGTAATGTAGTGCTAGTGGGATGCTGTTAGTGATAATGAAGGCGATGTTGACGATGATGACCAAGTCGGCTAGAGTATACTTTACAGCTCAAAACATGTATTCTACACTCGTTCGCCTGTTAGCAGAGCGCAAAACAATATGAAACAGTAGCTGAAATACTAGCTGGAGGATAGCCCAAGTGAATTCATCCCCATACCATTCCATCAGATCAAAACCCTTCAAACAGTCTTACTCCTATGACTCAGTGGCTTCATATGCATGCAGTACACTATTTTAAAGGTTACTGACGACTCTCCGAAAGCCCACGACGTTTTCACCCCTCTTGAGGCTCATCAGGTGGGCTCAGTCCCCACCGTCAACCAAATAGCCTGGCCGTTGGTACGGACAGTTCAGTTTGGACCTGCCAACACAAAACTGCATCCTTTTGGGGGTGGTCAGGAATGGTTAAGACAATGCTATTAGGGTGCTCTCCTGTCACATGTTACTCGATCCGTCAGAGATTCAGTAGTTTTTGAAGTTAATCACCGATAACAGCTGTATATAATCTTAAACAAGTGCACGCTTGTGGCGGTCTTATTAACCACTTTCAAGTTCACAGTTTTTCATGAAACAAATTTACACCCTGCCGCCTATCCACACTTAAGTGATCCAAGGGTGGTCAATAGGCGCAAGTTGCCCGGCCGTAGTTGAAAGTGGTTTGATTCTCTGAAAACACCCGAAACTGTTTATACGGCGCATGACAAGACCGAAAAAATCGTTCGTTTCGCTAGATTGAGCGTTCTTCTGATTTTTTTGGTTCTGGAATCTATATCGCACTTCGCGCTTATCTACTTCCTCGGCGGTATCAAAGTCTTGTAGAACACGAACTGTATATCACGTTTCAGCGAACAGAAGTATCAACATCTTTGATCTTTTTAGGTCCCCCACCCTTTAAAACAGTTTTGTACGGATGATGAATAGCTGTATTCAACCAATCACTTACTGACGCAATGAGTAGAATTCACCAACGTCCGCCCAGTGAAAATG